TTACTTCTCTAGATGGTTTCTCAGCCAGAACACTTACTTCTCTAGATGTTTTCTCAGCCAGAACACTTACTTCTCTAGATTGTTTCTCAGCCAGAACACTTACTTCTCTAGATGTTTTCTCTGCCACAATATTACTTCACTAGATGGTTTTTCTGACACATCAGTTACTTCACTGGATGCTTTTTATGATATTCAGTTACTTGATATGTATTCTTCCATATCTTTTGTTATCAGGAAATTAACTCGAAAAATATTTTCTTGCTAGATACCTACTGTAAGCCATATGTATACGGACAGAGTAATTATGAAGAAAGCTTCATAGTTAAAATAATTATATCTTAAAAACTAAATTTTACAACAAGCACATGGATAATCTTCTGTTTTTTTCATTTGGGAAAGTTTTGACATGATACAGTTTGTTTCGAAAACATATGACACTGTAAAACACTTAGTTTTTTAAAGACATTTATTTATATTACCAATTTTTACCCTTCAAAACCATTTAACTCATAAAATATATATATATGCCACTGAAAAATTTACTCTACTGATTGTAAATTTTATAAGTCAGTTTCTATACTGAGTAATCATGATACATATGACCAGAAGTAAATATGTGAAATAAGGACACCAATGCGTTACCAAACTTACAATGATTTTGAACTCTAAACACATTTATTCCAATAACCATAATATATATATATATATCAACACTTTAGTTTTACAATTCTCAGCTTTCTCTATATGTGATCGCTTAACTATACATACTTTTATGAGACAATTTTATTGTTTTTCATTAAACATTTTCTATTGGTTCACGTACAGTTTGCTGCACAAACTCGTCACCAGGTGGTCACATTAGCTTGTTTGTTTGTTATTAAGCATAAAGTTACACAATGGGCTATCTGTGTTCCGTTCATCGCGGGTTTCCAAGTTCGATTTCTACCGTTATAAGCTCTACTACTTGTTTGGGGGGTGGGGTCACTACTAGCTCCTTATTAATAATAATTACATTTCTACGAGTAAATACCTAACATATTTGGTGTAGTACTTGTCTCAGAAAACCGACTTCGAACACCAGTAGGACTAACATAACATTAAATTATTTTTATAAGCCGAACCTGTCCTAGTGGTCAGCCTGCTTGCCTATATTAGAAGGTACGTCTTTTTTTAATGGTTTATTATGATTTTAGAACTTTTTGATTAGATAGAAACGTTATATATGCTAATTTGATAACTAAGTCTCTTATTCAGATGCAGCAACCACTCTAAAAAATCTTCATTTCAATAAAATACCTTCTGATAATATATCTGTCTGAATATCTATTTACTAGAGAAAGCTATATCTTCTTCTAAGTTACACTTGGTTAATATATGTTAAGTTCACTTGTATTTTTAATTAAGCTGCACCGTTGAAATTTGTAAAAATCCCTAGTCCTTCGATTCCTCGTTGTTAATTCTGAGGGCTTATGACGCTTAAAATCAAGTTTCGATACCGCGGTGGGCACAACACAGATAGGCCATTGTGTACCTTTATGATTAACAGTAAACAATCCCTAAATTAAAAACAATGTATTAATAAAATAATGTTTTGTGTGTGTGTGTGTTTTTTCAAAGTCCACTTTGGTGTATAAGTAATAGAACAAAGAATCACGAGCTTGAGATTAGATTTCATCTCATTAGGCAACAAGAATCAGATTTTTTTATTTCTTGGATTAATACAGCTTTCTATCAGATTTATCATTTAATTAATATCTAATTACAGCATACATGCTGTAAAACATTAATTGTGTCCTTTTTGTCGCGATTCTCTTTGAAATATTTACATATTGTTTTGTTATCATAGTAAAAACAATTATTCACTTCATAATTGTATTACAGCGTAATTGTACTTTAACTACAAGGAGCAATTAAATATGCAAGGAGTAAGTTTCTTCCTTTGACAAAGTTTTCGTTATGATGCATTTATTTTTACGCCAGTTTTATTTCACCAACACTCGAGTTTTAATTCAACAAACTGCAGTGGACGCTAACATCATAAAAATATTTCCCTGTCCCAACATGACTAAAATAGGGGAAAAAGTAACGAAGAACAAATAGAAAGTATTGATTCACTAATCAAAAGAAAACTAATATATATATATTGCTCAAAACATATTGCCATGGGGATTTATTTAAAAAACGATTACACCTGTGAGTTTAAAATGTAATACGAGGTAGGTAGAATTTTTTTCAGATGGGATATTTCTAAGCCCATATGTCAGGTTTTCTGTTGTTTAGATATGAAATCTCATTTACCAAAAAAGTGATTCAGTTGGTTTGTAATATTTAGTTAAAGTCAATAGACTAAAGGAACGTTTGAGGATAAATGTTATGTTTATTAACAGTATCGATCATTTTTAATATAAACACTTCTTTATATAGATGTTACAAAGAGCCTTTACCACACCTTATTTGTATTATCAGAATTATTTACTCTAATAATTAGTGCCAAGAAAATAAAAGTGTTCGGTTTTCAATAAAACAGTTTTCTTAAGTGGACTGTTTCCTATTTTAACAAAGTCTTCGAACTCTAGTCTGCATCATATTTTCCCCTTTATATTATAATTGAAGATACATAGATATTTTTCTATAAGGTACTTTCTCAGTTGTTTATTTTTTTGTGAATTGTTGTTGTTTGTTATTAAGCACAAAGGGCTATCTGTGCTCTGTCCACCACGGGTATCGAAACACCCGGTTTCCAGCGTTATAAGTTCGCAGACATACCACTGTGCCAATGGGAGGCATTTTTTGGTGAGAAACACAGAATGCGATTTGTTTTAATTGGTGTTTTCGAATCTCTAGCAGTTACTAAATACATGTATTACTAGCATGTAAGATGTGTTGCTTAGAGATGTTAGCCAGTGGGCTGTAGATCCAACAAATTATAACGGGACCAAATAGGTGATCATCAACTTGACTTTGTGCACGCTTCGGTAATATAGTTTGTTGAATTTTGCGAAAAGCTATTTTAGGGTTATCTGCTCTAGAAGGAAAGCAGCTAATCAGTATTGCCAACTATTGGGCTACTCTTTACCGAAGAATAGTGAGATTGATCGCAACATTGTAACACATCTACGGCTTAAAGGGTGAGCATGTTAGGCGACAGGTTTCGATGATGAGACCCGCAGATCTTTGACTACTCGGGTTAAATCAATGTGACTATACTAATAATACTTACTCGTCAGATTAGATCTGATAGTTTGTAACCCTAAAAGACATTTCCATATCAGAAAACCTTGCTACGTTGGGCTCTTCTTATCTCACAACATAATGTAAGCACTTATTCTTCTGTTCCTAATAGCCATATGATCCTACATTGACTTATTTCGTCGGCCTTCCACAAATATATCTCTGAGAATTTCATCACAATTTACAGAAGAAATTCCAGGTTATGTTTTCCCATAGAGACACATTATCCATGTATTTGGTCAAATCAACTATCTGTAGGGGCCCTGTTTATAAACATGAACTTAACCCAGTAAATTATTCTATTTTCCTCTAGGTCAGAGTGGCAGTGAATGTTTGCTACATCTGTGCCACAGTCACAAAGTAGATGTTCATTGAAATGTTAAATGGTATTAAGAAGTAAAACAACCAAGCACAGAGCAAATTAGGGTAGTTTGCACCTGAATACATATATTCCATATGATAACTTGACTGAATTGTTTCTAGGATTGATCCTGATATGTATACTTTGAAGGCTAATGGGTTGAATCATTGGAATTTGGTAATACTTGGTAGCTTAGCAAATACTGAGTCATCAATGTCAGCAATAGCAACTGCTCTTTTCAGTACATAGATAATTCAGAATTTAGACAAATATGTGGATCTCTG